CTAACGGACTTGTGTGGGCTGCTGGCCGCAGCAGACAACAGCTTCGTCACCAGCTCTGCAGCATGCTCGGGCTTGAGCCACCTTTGCTGGTTTCTGTAGCCCTGAGAGAATTCTAGGAGATGCCCAGTATCTTTCCCCTAAACCCCATCTTTGCTCTGTCAGCCAAAACTACCTTCGGTTGCTGGCAACCGTAAATTCCGACAAATACAAGAATGGGCACTGGAGGATATGACCATCAGTAGAAACTCGAGGAAATGGAGGTTACCTGGAATTGGTTAACTGGTCTGGCGTGCGCTGATGGCTCAGAATATCCAGGTGATGGGGTGGGACTCTGGCAGCCAAGATGCATCTGTGCTTACCTGGGATGAAGTTCTCACTGTAGACCAGCTCCGAGATATCCAGTAACCATGTTCATAAACAACATCAGGCCATAGGGCATCGAAAACCTGGGATGAGCTACTTCTATTTCTAGGAACTCAAAATATCCAACAGGCCTTGTTTCCACTCAGTTTGCATGATACTTAGAGGTCCTTTTGAGGCCATGACTTTGCTTTTCCAAGCCTGTAGTTCTAAGCTCATTTGTGCTTGTTCTCACACCTCTCCCTTGGAATCCAGAAGGCCATAGGACTGTGTGGACTGGATCACTCGGGGTGATCAGATTTCCTCCCCTTCCACCTCCTCAACTCCCTGCCCGCCACTTCTGCCAAGTTACAGCCACCAGGAAAAATGATAAGACATTTATTGAGTCATCTACAGCACGGTGACATCTTTAAAATCCCGGACAAGATCGTGAGCACAGCGTTAACGGCGGCAGCGGTAGCAGTGAGGTCTTTGGGGCTTATTTTTATTGTGGGAGATGAAATATGGGAGCAGGGGTCTGGTTCCATAAGTGAGCCTAGAGCCACGTCTGGGATGCTGGGGACTGGCCAACTTCAGCCCTCGGCAGGAGCAAACCACACAACACAGACATAAGACAAGACACAAATGGCCAAGCACAGACACATCCCAGGACCTCACATTTAGGGAAAGAATAAAAGAGCCCATAGCCCACTTGAGGAATGTCCCAGAACCTTGAAGGATTCCCAAGGAGGTGACAGGGAAATCACCACCCACGTGAAATTCTCCCCATCCTAAGCCCAAGAGCAAACTGAATCCATTGACAGAGATAAGCCTGGAACCGTGTGTCCCTCACAGCCCACTGACCTCCCTCTTGCCCCCAGTGCTGGTGGTTTTACAAATGGGGCAAAGGTTAACCCAGGATGGCTCAAAGCAGTTGACAAATAGCACAGGGTCCCTTTCAGGGGTCTTCACCCCAGTACCAGCCCATACCTGTGTAGTATCCAAAGCCCTTTTATACACAAGGATGTCTCACTTCAACCTCATCTCTGGGCTGGGGAGCAGACTGCAAATCATGTCCTCCCATTTGTCGGATTAGGAAGCAGAGGCTCAGAGAGGCTGAATCTTGGGGCATAAAACTCAAAGAGAACCCCAGGCTAGAAGACGGTTTTCCCCATCCCACACTGACTCTATTGCTCTTCCTGTGATTTGAAATCCTAAACACTTCGGTAGCCAGAGCCACTTTCTTGCACGTGACTGAATGTTTTCTGTATGGATGCTCTCTTTGGGCTCACATACAGGGCTGGGCACATGCTGGTGGGCCCCTTGCCTCATTCAGGCTTGTGAAGCATCTTGGATCCCAGCACAGTACAGGCACTGTGCTAAGCCTGTCAGTAAGGGATTTCTCATCAGCCCAATGGGGAGGTTTGACCTGCAGATCTCTGTTTTTCTTCCCAGCTCTAGTGCTTTGTAAGTCTCCCTAAAGAAATATGGGGAAGGGGTCAAGGCCAAACAGCAGGTCACTGGCAAAGCTGAGAGAAGTCCAGGTTCCCCATTCCCTGCTCAGAGACCTCCTGGCAGGCTTCCATGGTCACTGAGCTCAAGGAGGAATTTATGATGGCAAAGCACTCACTGCTTTCACTTTGGAATGGTCTTGAGGGGATCAAGGGTACTCACAGAATCACAAAGGAAGCTTCTGCTAGCTTTCCTTTTAGGAAGGGCAATGGTCAGAGGGAAGAGGTGAGTCAGAACACTTGGTGGGTGATGATGTTTATTTCAAGCCTTGGGCCTGGCTCCAGACCCCTGGCCCTGTTCCCCGAAGAAGCTGGTTTGGGGAGGGTTGAGGGTAAGAAGAGGAATCACTGCAGACCACTGGACAGGTCAAGGGGAGTCACAGGGCCACCCACTGAGACAGAAAACGTGGCTTAGCCTCACATATGGTAGGGAATTAAGAAGCCCCCAGTGCAGGGACCACCAAGAAGCTACTGAACCCCCTCCCACCCCCAAATCGCACTCTCTGCCCTCTCACAGGTTCCTTGGCAGCCTCAGCATCCCTAACTTGGATTCCCACTCCCCCCGGGGTTGGAGACTCTCTTCTAACATGGCCTGTCCCATGGTGGAGCATTCATAAAAGAATCTGAAAAATCTCTTCATTCCAAGAACAACTCAGCCTCCTCTGGGTGACTGTTGACCTTTAGGATTGCATAAAACTAGAAAAAAAACCCTCCTGGTAATGATCTTCTAGAGTCATGAAGATGGAGAACTCTGTTCCTCTCCAGCATGACCTTTTTGAGGTCCCGAAGACCTCAAACCCCTCCCAGCTCACAACTCTTTCTTAGCCCTTCCTGGGGAGGCAAATGTAACTCTGCCTGGAGCCCATTCACAGTAAGTAGATGGCTGGTGTTCAGACAGAGAATTCCAGAGATGCAATGGGCTCTACGGATCACCTAGTCCTACTGCCCATTTTACGGATTTGAAAACAAAGACTCAGAGAGGGAAAGGTTTTGTCCAGACCTTGTGCTATCCATCCCCCTCCACCCCCCCCCAACTGCCTATGACCCTGCAGGCTAGCTACTTAACCTTCTGGAACATTCAAAATACATGGGGTACATCTGTTCACAAGATGGACAATATTTCGTTCAGATAGAAAAATAAACCAACAAACCAACAGGAACCCGGAACCTCTACAAGGATGCACCCCAGGGCTCAGGTGGCAACACAGCGCATAGGATTCTAAGCTGATGATGTCTTTGCTGTTTTATGAGGATATCTGTATAAAATCAAAGTCTCTTTTTCCACAGTGAAACAGAGCTGCTGGTGGGGACTGGGACGAAGAAATGAGGTCCACTCAGGGCAGTGGTCCTAAGGTCCACTCAGTGGCTACCTCCAGGTCCTAGAAGGATCTGGAGGTAGCCACTGTCCAAGTAGCCTTGGCACCCTGACCAGGCTAGGGACATGGCTGGATCTACACATCATGCCCGAGGCCCCTGTCAAACTGTCCCTGGCATGATCCCTCCCTCCAGCCCACCAGCTTCCACTATGGTGTCCCACTGGAAGAGACAGATGTTTCCTTTCTAAGAAAGGGAAAATAAATGGCGTTCTCCCCTCCCACCACATATACACCAACACATACACTTCAAAGCCTTAGATGATACATATTAACAATGATGCATGCCCTTTTATCTGCTTAGCTTTGAAAGCAACAATTGCTGAAGTGCAGAGCTTGGAGAAGCTTTCGAAGGCACTGCATCTCACATATGGAACAACTGAGACCCCGAACAGGGAGCTCTGTGTCTATAGTCTGAGCAGTAGAGGCCCAATGGGGGGCAGATTCTAGGTTTGCCAAAGACCCAGGGGTCTACAGTGCTTCACTGGCCAAGGACACAGGGCTCATCTCTAAACCATGCAACTAAGTCCTTCTCCAGTCATCTAGAGGATCTCTCCAAACACGGACCCCCAGGTCCCCCAGGCCCTGTGCTCTTTATAAAAACAAGTTAAGCAACATTCCCTCTCCACCCAAGTTCCCCAAGCATTCCAGAACATGATCACGAAACAAGTCTGCAAACACACTTGGACAGGAACAACACCAAAAGTTGACATGGAATGAAATGGGCCCCCCACATGGGCCACGGCACTCTAGCACTTTCTCCCACCTTCCCTCAAAATCTGGTTCTACGCCATTTTGAATTCTTAAGACTGTGGCCAAGCAACTTGCAACTGGAGAACCACAACAGGAGCTGGGGAGCTGCCATGCCTTCCATCTGTGGCTTCTAATAGGCATGGTGGGTGTGGTTCTCCTCCCAACATCCTAGGCCACTCTAGCATCTGTGGTGATTCAATGTCAAGAATACACAGAGGGAAGTCTTTGCAAAGGTCTCAGAGATAGTTCAGTAGCTGAGCCCAAGCCCAAGGAGCTGGTGGCCGGGTCTCCTCATTGTCCATGAGGGTGGGGGGAAGGGGAGTTATGAGGGCCCTGACTCGGGCGCAAGGAGTAAGGTGATTTGGGATTCATTGACATCACAGGAAGGCGGCTGGTTCATCCTATTCATGGCTTTGACTTGAGAAGAAATGAGGAGGGGGAGGGCTTAGGGGCTCCTTGTGGTAGGTAGGGGTGGGGAGCAGTCTCTCTGAGGCATGAGTCTTTCACCTCCCGCAGCTGATGCCTAGGGATGAGAAGCGTAGAAGGGAGGCTACTCGAGGAACCCCCCCGCCCACCTCGAGTTGGGAGTGAAGTAATGGAGCCAGCGAAGGTCTTCTTCCACGAGCCCCCAAACTCTTTCCATCTCCTTTCTGATCACATCCACATTGCTGGATCTTGGCAATTTTTCTTCTACCAAATGAAGAGCACCAGAACATGCCGGAACCCTGAGCCCCACACCCAAAATGGAGTCTCTGATTGGAAGAGTCCTGGAGCTGTCCACTGCCCTGACACCCAGGAGCTGGGCACCTGGACACCAAGATGCTGGGGGCGGAGGATGGGGGAGTCTCGGCTCAGTTCTCACCTCCACTAAAGGATGCTCAGAGCACCCAAGCCAGATCTCTGGCAGGCCTCAGGGACTGGGCCTGGCCTGAGAAGAGCCTCAGGTGGTGAGCAGACTCAAGGAGTCCACACTGAAAGTCAGACACTGTGGGGGCTCTCGGGCAGGCCCCTCCCCAACCCCTCCCCCCAAAACAAGGTGGTCAGCCTCAGCTCACAAGGCCTCATTCACAAGGGCAAGGAGATCACTAAGGCTGGTGGAAACAAGATAGGGTGAAGCTGGGGACTTGCCTGAGGTGAGCAGGGACAGGGGGTCAAGGGGTGGGGATAAGATGACTTTTCAAAATTGGTGGAGTATTTACAGGTTGGGATCAGGGCCCAGGGGCCCATGGGGTTGGGGGGACAGTGTCAGATGGGGAGGGGCAATACCCGGGTCCGCCCTGCATCCTTCTCCCACCTCGGGGAGCCCGGCCTCCAGCCCAGGGCCTGCCCGAAGTGAGAAAAGAAGCTGAACATGCGTGGGCCGGCGCCCGCCTGCAGCCCCAGCCTGTGTATGGAGGAGAGAAGGAGGGGAGGACGGGCTCATGTGGCCAGGTTGTCAGCCGGGAGTCCGGACATGCGGATCTGGGAGCTGCTCTTGCTCAGGATGGAGAGTTGGGTGCCCCCGTTCACCCCGCTGCTGGCCAGGGACGGGTGCCGGTGCTTGAAGTCCACGGTGAAGTAGCGGTTCACCTTCCAGCTCCGCCACTTACGCTTGATCTCCGCCTGCACCTGCAGGGAGCAACTGGGACGGTCACTTCCAGACAGCCTCTTCTACCTGACTGCTCTGCCGGGGCCCTCCCCGGCACCCACAATACCCACAGACTCAGACGAAGGCTTGCAGCCCTTCAGGCCAGCAGTGGGGAAAGGAATGTCTCTGAGGAGCTGACTTGAGCTCCTTTCCCAAGGCACGGCCTGAGCAAGGAGCTTGAATGGCTTCTTGTTCTCTGCGGGCTTCTGGTCCTGGGCCTTGGCATTCCCCAGGCCGTCGCAGGCTCACAGGATCTTTCGGGGAATCTTAAAAAGCAGTCGCTTGGGGCAGGCAGACCAGGGAAGGAGCCCCTCTCTCTCAGACCATTACCAGTGGGCTGCGCATCAGAATTACCTGGAGAGCTTTACAAATCCGGATGCCGCGACCACAGCCCAAAACAAAGACATCAAAATCTCTGGGGTAAGGCATCCGTATGTGGTAAAGTTCCCCAGGGATTCCAATAGGCAGTCAGGCTCGAGAACCGCTAGCTAAGGTGCTGTCTGAGTGAACACACCCCCATGTTGCCCTTAGCCTGGTATGTACAGGGCATGGCCAGCTTCAGCCTCTCTACGCCTTCGCCGGTTCAGCACCTCTGTGTGGAGCACAGACTGCACGCCTGCAAGTGAGTGGTCCCAGCACCCAGCCCTCCAGTTCCAGCTCCCACCTTCCCCACCGGTCTCCTGGCCAGCTCCCTGTGCTCCCACCCCCCCGCCTCGCCTAGCCGCTGGATGCTTGGCGCTGGCGCCTCTCCTTATCTGACCTTGCCTGGAGGCTGTCTTGGCAATCTCCGAACCAAATCTTTGTGTTTCTCAGATGCAAAAAGGGAAGGAGCCTGCTGTGCTGAGCCAAGACCCAGGCACAGGTACGATGACTCCTGGTCATTCCGCCCACGCATCTCACCCATTCAGCCCCCACTCCTGGCCCAGCACCTCTGTTCTGGGCTCTGTTCAAAAGCGTCACCTTAACAAACAGGAGCAGGAGGCCCTGAGACCTTAGCTCTGGAAATGACACACTATGAGAAGGTGCCAGGCCTCTCCCAGGGTTTCTCGCAAGTTCCAGAGTCCCCACTCTACAGGGGATGGGTCTGGGCAGACAGGCAGGCCTGGTGGGGGCAGTGCTGAACTTTGGGTAGCTCCCCACTTGGCACCCCTACCTGGCACAGCCTCATAAACTATAGGTACCATTTTTTGTGCCTTCCTCTTTCCGTTTCTCTTTACTAAGGTGTGTCTTATAAGCAGGGTTGTGCTCAGCAGGGGATGCCTTTACAAGTCCAGATGATGCCTTGCATAGCAGGTGAAGTGAGAGAGACTCTGGCCCAGGACAGGCTTCCAGGAGACTCTAGCACCACTGCCTTCCCCCTTCTCCAGGTGCTGGGAGCCTGGCGTGGCCCTGGTCAGGAGCATCAGCTCTGGTGGGCAGCAGGCTATGCCCCGTCTGCTCCCCAGCAATTCCCACCTCCATTGCTAAGAAGCCAGAGGGCCAGAATCTTACCTCCCCATTCAGAAAACAGTAGAGAACAGCTACCACAAAGCCCTATGGAGAGAAAGCAAAAATAACCTGAGAATGCTAGCAAGGGACCTTGGGCACAGCGAGCGTAGGAGGCAGCAGAAATGTGGAATGACCCCAGGAATCAGAAACATACCTGGATGGGGGGCCCTTGCCCAGGAATCTGCGGTAAGATGGGAGAAGTTCTGCTGCACCATGATGGCCATGCTCAGGAGGCCAAGTGGCTACAACCTGGCTTTGGAGCTCACATCCCCTAGGTCAGATCCTTCCCATTCCCAACAGCCAACTCCATCCCATGTGCTGCAAAAAGCCTTTCATGGCTCCCCAGGATGTTCTCGGGCTCCCTAACCAGCCTGCAGGACCCTGAGGGTGGCACCCCTCCAGGATAGAATGGACCCATGTCTTTATCCCCACCCCCTCCCCATCCCACACTTCCTTGGCCAAATACTCTTAACAGCACACGAAACACCATGACTAATTGCCTGACACAGAGGAGGCAGCCGGCTACCCTGCATATGGCCTTTACATGTACTCTTTGCATTTAGAATTCCTGCGCTAAGACGAGTACCCTGGGCTCTGACTCCGAGGCTGGGGCTGCAGCCACACAGCTCCCAGCCATGCCAGGCTAAGAACCATTAACAGGGAAAATACCTTGAATCAAAACTGGGGGAGGGAGAGTAAGAGTAAGCTTACTCTTACTCTTACTCTTACTCTTACAGAGTAAGCTCCTGACCCTCAAGAAGCTGGGGCAAACAGCTGGGTTAGGGCGAGGTACTTTACCGGGGGACACTCAAGTTTGCCCCTGGCTCACCTTCACGGACCCACTTGGGCAGCCATCCATTAATTTACTCACTAGGCATCCTCATGCCCACTCGCTCACTCCCTCGCTCACACTTTGACAACCCCAACCACTTATGCCCTCAGGGATGGAGTCATGGTCCCTCTCCCACTATTCTTTGGATCATCTGTATCTCTCTTTGCTCATCCACCTCTTTGGTTCTCTTTGGCCAGGTCCTGTGCTGGGGACACCAGAGTAGGTAAGACTGAGCTCCAGGGCTCCTAAGAGGCGTGGTCTACAGGCTGGAGTCAGGGTGTGGACACAGAGGTCTCCAGAGAGCACCCTGCTCCCCGCCCCCCCAGGCTGAAGGGGAGGGATGGGGTACCCAAGGGAGGCCTTGCTCAGAACCCCCAGATGCAGCCACGGGAAGACACCAGCACCTGTTCTCACAGGAGCCCACGGTAGACAGCAGAATGGGCTCTCCCAGCTCTCTTCTTTCTACTGCTATTCCGGACATGGAAACACAAGGCTGAATCTAGGTTACAGAACTTAGAACCACCAGCAGATTAGAGACTGGGGCCCTGGCTCCCCACAAGCCCCCACCTACCCTACCCACCACACCTACCTGGAAGGAGCCCAGCCCCAGCTCAAACACAAGTCTCTCCCTCTTGCTGACATTCTCCGGGGAGAAGGCGAATACCGTATAGTGGATTCCAAACAGTGGGATGAGCAGCAGGGTGGACCGGGCTAGCCGTCTGTTGGGAGAGAGTGAGAGAGTGCTTGCTCTTAGGGTGGCCAGGTCTTGACATTGGAGCCATGGAAGGCAGAGAGGCTAAGTCCCAGCTCCCCGCTCTCCCCCAGAGCTGGGGCTCCTGTCCACAGACTCAGGATTCTCTCCCAGGGCATGGGGGCTGGAGGGAGGGTGGCCAACCCATCAGGGCTTCCAGAACCCCCTGGGACATTCTGGGTGGACATCCCATTCCTCTAGGCCATGTCAGTGTCCTGTAGAACCACTATATGTGAGTGTGGGGTTTACAGACACCCCTTGTGGGAGGTACAAAACCCTTGGCAAAAGGGAGATGGGGACCAATGCAGGATTTGGAAGGTTTGTGACGTCATGGACACTCAAGCAAAGCAAACTGTCCCCTGCTCTGGATGGAAGCTCCACGTGATTGGAAAGAGCAGCCCCTGGGGGGCCACGGAGGCAGCAGGCTTTTCTGAGCCTGGGGTTGCCACACACATGGGGAGTGATAGGGAAGTGTTGATGAAGGAGGGGGTGGGGGGCACCGGGGGGTGGACCACAGAAGGAGAGACCCAGGAGGGATCCAAGGAAGGACTGACTGCCTCTGGGAATTAACAAGCACCAGCTAAGCTGGAGGAATCCATCACCTGGGGACAGTCAAGGGAAATGAGGCTGCCTGCTTGGAACTTGTGGGGGTAGAGAGAGATGGAGCCAAAGAGCCCTCCTTGCGTCCTGAGGCTGCTCTTCTGGGATTCTTCTGCTTGCCACTGGTTACTAGGCCCAGCGAGGTGGGGCTCTGCTCTGAGGGGCAGGGGCACAGAAGCCACAATATGACGTCCAAAGGGTCCACACTGCATGTGCTTGTGGGTCCTATTCTGTCGGAAGGGGTGTTCCCAGAGGGTCTCCAAGTGGGACCCCAGCTTTGCCCACCGCAGGATACTGGCTCCCTCTGGATCTCCTGGAAGACCCAGCCCTGCCCTTGTAGGTGTGGTCTGCCCTCTGAGCCATCAGAGTGGGGGCGGTAAATGGGAGGTCTGGCTCCCCTCCCTCTCAGTTCCTGTCCACGGGGGAGGACATTGGGGGGTGAGGAGGGTAGCCCTTTGATTTGGGGATATTGCATGAGCCCTGCCCTCTTCCCCATCCTAGCCTTTCTGGGAGAAAATGTTCTGTTGAATGTGGGGCCTCCAGATTTCAGGAGTTGAATCCATGGGGTCTGTGTGAGGCCCTTGGCTTCCCAACTGAGAGAGAAGGAAGGAGAGAGAGAGAAGGGAAGAAAGAGAAGCAGAGAAGGAGACACAGAGGAAGGGGGTTGGAGTACCCTGGGAAAACCTTCAGGTGGACAAAGGCTGAGCCACAGAAGCAAGCAGCACCACGTGGGCAGATGCCCGACCCTTCTACCCCTGGCCACAGGCAGCCAGTTCTGCAGGGCCCGGGCGCCCTGGGCCAGAGCTGGCGCCAAAAGGATGGGAGTAGGTCCCACCCTGAGCCCAGGTGTCCTCGAGTGGGCTGTCCTCTCTCAGACTGTGGATCCTTGAAGATGCTCTTGGTGCTTCCCTTATCAGTTAGCTTCCCTGGCCAGCTCGTGCCAGGCTGGGGACTCACACTCAGAAGGTTCCTGCCCAGGAAGGGACAAACAAACACACAGGCCATGGGAAAGCCTCAGAGTTCTGAAACCTGAATGTGACCCGGGGCTCGGGTCCTGCTCTTCTCTGTGTCCCCCGTGGTAAGGGGCAACGCATGGCTAAAGGACGAAAGCCTGAAAAGAAGTGGCAGGTAGCCTGGAAACTCAGGCATGTGGACACTTGTGGGCCCCTTTATGACGCTGACCAAAGGTGGGGGTTACCTCACAAGCAAAGTTTAACTGAAGGGGCTTGGGAGGAAAGGTGGCACTCAGACGCGCCTGTGGTTTGTGCCCTCTTCCTCCCTCCCTCCCTCCCTGGGCCTGTTTGCAGGGATCCATCCCCGCAGTTTGAAAGTTCTTAGAAACCAAAAGGCCAAACCTCTTCAGCTTTCACATGGCAGTGGTTGGATGGTTCCATGTGTGAGAAGCAGGGACCTTCCAGACATGAGCTCAGGCCCTTCCCAGTCCCTGGCCAGGTGGCAAATGGCAGCAAGGGTGACATTGGTGGCCCAGAAGCACCCCTGGAATGGTTGGGGACTTCTGTCAGAGCAGACGGTCACCACTTTGGCAGACAGAGAAGTGGGGTGCAGACGAGGAGGCCATGAGGGCCCAAAGTTCTGGGACCAATATACTTCAGAGCGGACCAAAGGCCTTGGAATGGGGACACATGGTGTGAGCCTAGGGAACCCTCTGAAGACAGTCGCAGAATCACCCTATCTGATTAAGCCACAGAGACTGTGACACAAGCCTCAGCCTCTGTCCTTCTGCCCCCAAGGGGGCATCGATGGACAGAAGATCCCTAAAAAAACACAAGGAAGAATTTCCAATGGTCCGAGCCGCCCAAATTACGGTGGGCTCCCCCACGTCAAGGGATTTCCAAAGGAAGACTGATCTTCAGTTAGAAATGCCCTGGGCCTTTGTGCCGAGGACTCCCTGGGTTCAAATCCTCGCTCTGCCAGGGATGGGACCTTGAGTGAGTATTTCCCCTCTCTGTGTTCAGTTCTCTCATCTGTAAAATGAGGTTATTACAAGGACCCACCTCATAGGGTCACTGTGAGGATTAAGCCTCTTAGCACAGGAAGTGTGAGCAAGGTTCCTCGGGGGTGAGGGTCCAGTGTATAGGAACTCAGGCTCTAAGACTCTTAGAACTAATTTGGCGGGTGCAAAGACTGAAGCCCAGAAGAGTGGGGGATTCAAGGGAAAACCATGCACCGTGGCAGCAGCAAGGAGGCTGCTCCCACAGGGACCACAGCTCCGTCCCCACAGCCCCCCACCCCCCACCCCCCCACCCCGATGGCTTGAGGTTGCAGAGAATTCACAAGACACACAGACACCAACATGCAACAGCGGAGAAACCGCTGGGCTGGAGGTACAGGCTCGCTCTCCACCCTCGGCCAGCTAGCATGTGCAAAGCTCCGGGCGGCAGTGGCAGCATGCGGCCCCCTCCCCTCCGGGACCCCCGGCCGCAGCCACGCCTCGCACACTTACAGAGTTATGGTGGACAGTTCTGACATCTTGCAGGAGTGCTGCTGAGCCCGCTGTGGCTTGCAGTAGCATTTCTGCACGCAGCTGCTGGGTGTGACAAGATCAGCACTTCTGTCAGCTGGGGGCATTGGGCAATGAAGGAACTGAGGGGAACCTAGAGCGACGCGTGGCTCAAGGGAGGGCAGAGGAGCCCAGGTGCAGAGCCAGGGCGGGGGCAGTGACACAGAAGAGAATGAGGAAGCCAGGGGCCAAGATGTGGTCAGCTCTGGACATAGAAAGGCATGCCCAGACGTGGACAGGTGTGTGCATGGAGACATACGCACACAATGAGCACTCACACCGGGTCCGCAGCAGGTGAGGGGAGCTGGAGGGCACGGGTGTTCTGAAGGCAGGGGCGGGCCTGGGTCTCAAGCAGGGCCCCCCACCCCAGAAGCTGTCTGCTGAGTCAGCGCCAGGCCCGGAGCACGGCCTTGCCAGAGGTCTCGAAGCAAGATGGACAGCTGGAAACCCATGCCGTGGACCTCGCACCGCCCAGCCTGGGCAGACCCAGCCCAAATCAAGCCCGTTCTGGGCTTGGGTGTCCACTGGTCTTCTTCCTCTACACCTCTCCCTCTTCTGCGGGGACCTCCTCCTCTCTGAACTCCCAGGCAGCTTGGTGTGGGTGTACAGGGTCAACAGAAGTGGGATGGATGGAAGAGACGGCTAATTAACCGAACTCTGCACTATCCAACAGGACAGCCATGACCCATCTGCAGCTATTTGAATTAAAATTAAATCAAGCTAGAAATACACCTTCCTCAGTTACCCTAGCCACCTCACAAGAGCTCAACAGCCACACATTAGCTAGCGCCTCCCATACTGCACAGCATGGTCCAGGGCATGTCCATTCCTGCTGAGGGTTTCACAGCACAATGCTGGGCTAGGCTTCCTGATCAAAGTTCCGCAGGCAGGGACTGGAGGGGCATCTTTTGGGTGCTTGCCCACAGCCTGCAGAAACAAGTCATCTTAAAGGAGGGGAGCCCCGGGGGTCAGGCTCGCTCTATATTCTGCTGGGTAGGGCACAGAATTTCCACCTTCTCAGAGAGGTCAGGCTGAATTTCCATCTGTCCCAGCTCTTTACGGTCCCACTGGCACTTAGGTGGGGACAAGCCTTAGACACTTCTTTTCCTTCTCTGATAAACATATAAGACCCAGGTCAAACACTGTATCACCTCATCATATAGCAAAAGAGTGGCCTCCTCCACAAACCCTCCTCGGGCGCCACATGGCACAGAGCCCCTAGTACCTGCCGGTGACCTGAGCTGAGGGGCTCGGATGCACATGAGAACAGAGACACACGATGAGACCAGACCTTGGGCATTCACCGATTCATAATTTGTGATTCCAGCTCTTTGAGAGGAAGTCTAAAGGTCCTTGACCTGGGCACACATGTCATTTTGCTGAGGCAAGAATCGGAGTCACATACTTAAAAGATGAGGCAAGCCGAGGTCGCTCCAGAACCCTTGCCTCCATCAGGTGCGTGGTTCTCATTTAATAACCAGCACCTCTCGGTCCGCACCAGATGGCACGGTGAGAACCACCACTGGCTCACCTGACAGACATGGGATGTGAGGGACGGCACAATGCTTGGTGCTGCCCAGACCAGTGGCATCAGCACCACCTGCAAGCTTCTTAGAGATGCAGAATCTTAGGTGCCCGCCCCCCACCACCTCCAGCACTGCTGGCTCAGAATCCACCTTTTCACAGGACCCAGAGGTGATCCACAGACAGCTCAAAGCCTGAGAAGCACTGTCGTGAGGAAGTTATGTATTTGAGAAGTTTCTTCACGTGTCAGTGAATGTCAAAGGTCTGCTTCGTATACATACAAAGAGATGGATAGACACTCAAAGGTATGTTTTTCTCACAACTTAAAAGAGCTTAATTGCACATTCAGGAATGGGAGCCCTCCTCATCTCCAGATTTATCTCTGCCTGGCCCAGATTGGAAAGCTGGCTACTTTCTCCTACAGCCAGTAGCCTGGTTGGTGCCCAGGCGCCTGAGAGCCCAAACCTCAGATGTGGCCCCCTACGTGCCGGTCTTAAGCCCTCACCCCAAATTCTAAAGCTTCAGCTGCTCTCCTCTGAGACTTCTCCTCCTTGAACTCCCAAAGGGTTATCCCTGCCCTTCCTGGGCCCTGGCCACAGTAAATACAGACTCCTCTGATTTCTTCTCCTCTGATTTCTAACACTAAAGGCCACTTAGTGGCAAGTTAGCTGAGAGCTCAGACCCCTGGTCAAGATGTGGGTCTCTGCTGGGAGGAGCAGAATAAAGTGGGGGGACCTGATGCCTGGGAGGGCTCTCGGGAGAAGAAGAACCTAGGGACAAAACTAAGTGTCTTTCTTCCCAAACACCACTTCTCCCAAAACCTCCCTGGCTCTGCACAAAAGGACATACGGAAAAGCATACGAAAGGGTGGCAGAAAAGCCAGAGACAGGTGTGAGAAAGGAAGAGATGTCGCAACCTCTCAGGAGTTACTACAGTTGGTGAAAAAGGGGAAAGGAATCAAGAGGAAGACGTAACCCCAGACTGGCTGGTGAGCTCAGTTTTGATTTGGACCTGAAGGGAGATAAGAGACAGGCCAGGGTGCTGGGTGGGAATGGATCAGAAGGCTGAAGAGCCCCATAGCAGGTACAGGGTCCACGCCTCCTTCTGGAAACCAGGGAGCCCTGGCCTCTAACTCAGGGAGGCAGCACATGGATTTTCGAGGCCTGTTTTTGTCACAGGCTAACCTCCATGGAAGCTCTGGTGCCTTTGTGTGCGGCATGCCCTGGGCTAGGCGGTCCCAGGGAACACCCCACAGAAGGCTGGAGCCCCCCCACCCCGCCCGCCCCGGAGGGCAGCACCGTGTCTACTCCACGCTGCTCCTGGCCAGCAGTGTGGTGCTGGGCCACCGGGTGGGCCCGTGGAACATCTCAGCCTGAGCCAAACACTCCCCATAGGGTCCCTCGTGGCCCTGAGATGCCATATCCCCCTGGAACCCTGGCCCAGCACCTGGGGAAGCACTGCACACCACACCGGCACTCCAGCCAGAAGCTCAGCTCAGCAGATCTTGGAGCTCCCCTGCCCGCTCCTACCTCCTCCCCTACCACTGAGGACAAACTCAGGGTCTGTGCCCCCTCCCCAGCCTTGGGGGCAGGGCTCCTGAGCTCAAGGCTTTGTCTAGACAGTGACTTGCTGGGTGGTCTCAGGCCTCAGTTTCTTCATCTGCAAAATGGGAGTAACCATTCCCCGCTGCTGATCCTTAACAGGAATTATGGGGAAGGGGTGCTCCCCGATAGGGTAGGGGTGCTTTGGAAGTAGAAAATGGACCTCCATGTGAACTAGGAGCCTTAGGCTGTGGGCTGAGTTCCTGGGCTGACAGCTTCCTGGCTGCATTTCTGCCATGACAGAGCCTGTCTTTAGAGTCAATGCCATCCTTCAGACACTGGGTATGACGCAGCCCTGCTGACTAGCGACATCACTAGCGACAACCTCCTTCCTTTACCCCAAGAGGCCATGCAGACTGGCTCTGTGAGGTCCCCAAGCGAAGTACGTGTGGGGTTTCCCTCCCCCACCTCAGACCTGAGAAGCAGCTTCCAACACCCGCTGGGAGCAGACCTGGGGAGCCCGCTGGGAGGACAGCCAGCTCCTGGAGGCGGTCTCAGCACAACTGGTGCCTGTGCGGGGACCTCACCCTTCCCTTTCTGAGCAGCTGGTGCCTCACAGAGCTCAGGGCAGGAAAGGGCAGACTAACCCTGACCCCAGCCTCAGGCTGAGCCCTAGCCCCAACCCCAGACCGAAGGGAACCAGAGCACATGCCAAACCTGACCCAGGCCCACACTCCACGCCTGGCCACTGCCCAAGGCCTGAGGCCAGCCCCTCATTCCATCAGAAGCCTCAGGTGAGAGTGTGGGTGGCTCAGTGTCGCCGCCCTCTGCAGGCCTCCAAGCCCCCAACAGAAGCCGTGTCTCAAACCCTTATCATCTGAGCAGCTGGAACCAACCTACAGGAAAGGGAGTGAATGCTGGTCTGAGGGCACAGGCAGGGGGTCCTCTCGGGCTTTCTTGGGGACTCTCAGGCTTAAATTTGTTCTGGAAACAGAGGAAAAAACCAGAAAGCTGTTGTGGGCAGATCAGAAGGGGCTTCTCAGCCCCACACATACCTCTGGTGGACCAAGGGGACTCGGGCACAGCCCTGAAATCTCCTCTCCCACCAGGTCCTGGCCCTTCCCCTCCTTCCACCACCCCCGTAGTCTCCGCTCCCCAACAGCAGACACCTCCCGGGCCCAAAGCACTCCAGGTGGGGATGTTCTCTACAAGGCCGGATCCCACTGGGGCCTCTTCTTCCAGGAATCCTTGTTTATCCCCTTATTTAGGGACCATCTCTCGTCTGTAACTTCCTGGAGGACAGGAAAGACAGTGCAGTCAAGCTTAGAGCCAAGGGCCCCTGCTGTCCCAGAGCCATGGCTCCACTCGTTCCTACTGGATTCATTTCACTTCACTGACAACTAGTTCCCTAAGCTGTAAAACGAGGATTATCCTGAACAGTTGGCAACTCAGCCCATCAGATTCACTGGGTGTCTGTGAGCACAAACTGTGCATGGTCAGAGTGGCAAGTGTTGTTAGGAGCTCTGCAGTCCCCAGCAGCACCGTCACTTTGATTGTCCCTCCCTGGGTGTCCCTGACCCTGCAAATGCTCAGAAATGTTGCTAAATTTCATAGGATCAAACTGATCCCTTATCCCGCGTCAGCCCTCCCCACTGGCTTACAGACCACATCTGAGTTTTCCATCTCTGGGGCTGGAGACAAGTACAGGTTTTCTCTAAGAAGAGGATATATGCAGATAGCAAGATGATTTTTTTTTTTTTTTCCCAGAATGGAAGCAAACCAACCAGCTGGTTCTTTCAACATGGGCACTTAAATGTAGAAACCACTTTGAGAAATGGTCATCTACACATCAGGAAGGCCCAAAGACTACAGCTCCCAGTCTGTGGTAACTTGAAAGCCCCCCCCCCCAGCCCCACCCTTCTCTCCACCAGACCCTGGGGCTTCCTACTGCCTGGGACAAGATGTCTGAGCTGAAGTGTGGGGTTGGGGTCCGTGGAGTGTCCTTATTTAGGCTGTAGCTGGGTCCCTGTGTGCCTCCCTACACAGGCAGAGTGAGGGGAAGTGGGGAGAGCCTCCCAGAGAAGAGATCCCAGGAACCAAAGAAGAGAAAACACTTCCTACAAGGAAGCAAAGAGTAGGGGGAATGAAAGCTACAGCTCAAAGGAGAGAAAAGGGCTCCTTCACTACTGCTAGCCCCCTATGTCTGAAATAACCGTATGGGTGCAGACACGAGGGCATGAGTGCCGACGGCAGAGGGGAGGTGAGGGAAGCAGGAAGGCCCTGTTTTGGGGGTTCTGGAGACTAAGACAGGGATGACCCCTCAAGGGCACTTAGTTGCAGGGAGCCAACCCCATGGATGACCCCCCCCCAGTACAAGGCCTCAGAAACTTTATGATTTATATATAATTTTTGACGACATAACACATACACATAAGCAAAAACATGAAACAATGTTTGGGTTGGCCAAAACATGAAAAAAAAGAAGACAGTAAATGCATAGCAAAAAAAAAAAAAAAGAGGATCTTTTCTAATGTAATGTAATCATACTCAATGCAAGGGAAAAAAGGTTGACCACCCCAGGCCCTGGGCAGAGCCCCCACCCCCACAAGAAGGACTTCCACAAGCAAAGTGCCCAAGTTAAACCTATAGACCAAGGGCAAGCTCTACCTCCCCGGGGAAGCCCCAAGGAGCGGAAGGATCTGGGGCTGGTCTCTGGGTAGTTCCTCCCTCCCCTTCTATGCAGTACAATGGTCAGCTGTGGAGAACCCTCTGCTGGGTCTCTCTGTGCTGTCCCACTTGTCCACTGGTAGCCATCAGGGTTCTGAGCCTGGGGTTGGCGTGGCTGATGAAGGCAGGACCAATCCCCCACCGATGCCATGAGAAGACCACGGCTCCTTCTAACCTGCCCTCTTCTTAAAAAACCGAGGAGGCAACACATTTTCTACCTTGCCTATGGACAGACCACTAGACTGCCCTCCAATATTCTGTGCCCATCTGGCCCTTCCAGCCAACCACAGGGGATTGACCTTCCTCATCAGCATCAGAAATGTCTCCAAACCCCATACACCCACCAGCTGGTCATTCTTGGGATCATCAGGCAAGATGGGTGAAATAGAAGATGCTTAGACTCAGAACAGGTGGAAGGCTGGGGGAAGGCTGACAGAACAAGTGGGACAAGCTGTTAGTGACTCCAAAAATACTTGTAGAAAGCAAGTCAAATGGCCATGGAAGTGGAGAAAACCCATGCTCAATGGTAAGGGTTGCCCCCAAACCCCCTGGATCTCAAACATATCAGTGTATGTCTGCTCAGGGAGGAGGAGGGGGAGCTGCAGGAGGAAGACCAGACCCAGAGATAAAGCTGCCCTGAAAGAAGGTAGAGAAGAGAAAGGACTCCCCCCTTCCAATACCCAGACCAGCAAAAATGTCTGCCTGGCTTGCTAGTTAGGCCTGAGCAACTTGCACACACTGGGCTGGTGGTGGGGACATCAGGCAACGGTGCATCCAGTGGCATTCATGAACTTCCCACAGACCCAAGATCCCCAAAGGAAATCCAACTGCTAAACAATGAAGGCCCTAACTACCCTAAGGAATCTGGTGTTTTCCACCTTGATTTTCCTCGTGTGACACAGGATCTGACCATCTCATCCTCTCTTTCTTCCCTCCCACCACGCAGATTAGCAGCTGGGTTGGCTGAAGGATAGGCAGGCAACTACATTTTAATGGCACTTTAATCAGAAAGAAACCTTGCAAATACCCTGTCAGTGAAACCTAGGCCTTCTCCTGTGACTCGAGTGCAGGGCCCACACAGCTGTTGGAAGTGACAATGGCATTCACATGAAGGTACTTACAAGTAGATGCTGGACTCATTGCCTCCCATGTCCGGAGACTGAAGTTTTTGCACAAGGATAACGATGATGCCAATGAAGAGAACAAAGTTAACCTGAAGAGCGAAGAAAAATAGAGCTGATTCCGGGCCAAGGCTTCCACAGCCCTGCCTCTGCATGGCCTGTTACAGCCCCAACCCTCCCCGATCCAGTCAAAATCCCATCTCGACTTCTAATTCAAGATGGTGGCAGGAGAACACGCATTTACCTCACCACTTACTAGTGTTAAAATGACAGAAAAGAGAAAAGAACAAGAATTTCATAGGAATCGTGAGGAATAGGAAAGATTATCCGGAGTGAGCCAGAAAAGCAGGCAATTTCTGGTAGAGAAAGAGCAAACAGGATCGGGGTGATGGAAAACAATGCCCAACAGAGAAGAGGCTCCCGCAGAGGTGGGAACTGTCCTCTGGAGAAACTCCAAGTTCAAAGAATGGAACATGGGGAACCAGAATGGATGGCCATAAGCATTATTAATTAAAGGGATGCCCAGGAATAGCAATAATAGCCTTTACCTTCAGAGAAAGATCAGGGACAAAAATCTCTCTAAACAGAGAAAAAGGGGTGCAGGGGGCGGGGCGGCGGACAGGGAGCAAATAAATGGAAACAAGTCGCAAAGAAAGGATCACATGGCAACAGCCTCTGAAAGTGGCCAAAGCAGCTTCAGCCGGAGGAAAAAAATGTAGAGCTTGACACTAAAAATGTAGAGCTTGACACACTATCTTAGCACTAACTTGACACTAAAAATAATAAATACTGAAGATAAAATAATTAAGCATTCAAATCAAAAGCTAAGGGGAAAGTGCCACACATTTAACTTCTACAAGAAGGAAATTAAGAAAGATAAAAATTCATTATAAAAAGCTGGGAAAAAGTAGACTTGATCAATAAAAACTTTATTTGGGGGTCTGGCTTTGTTGGCTTGTTTCTACATTCTCCACGAAGGTATTTCTCCCAGTCATCTCCCCCACTCCAAGCCCAGGGCCCCAACAGTCCCGGGAATTCAGCACAGAACCTGCTGCTTCCTGCAGAGGTTAGTCAGTCCAGAAGGAGAAAATGCAAGTAAACAAATTTAGGGATGAGAAGGAGAACAAGACAACAGATGTATAGAATATTTTGAATCATAAGAGAAAATCAAACAAAATGGGAAAGTAGAAAATAACAAAATCAAATCAAGGAGGTGTAGAAAATCTGAGTAGAGAAATGACCTCAGGAGAAATTTTAAAAAGTAATCAAAGACATAAGCATTAAAAGTCTTCGGGGCCAGTTAACTTTACAGACCAGTTTCATAACACCTTTAGGGAAGATGTCATTTACAGACTATGTCATTGTTTAAAAGCAAATAAAAAGACAACCTCACAAGTTGCTTATTAGGCTAACAAAACTCCACTACAAATCCCAGACAACAGGGCACCTCAGTGGCTCAGTAGTCAAGCATCTGACTTCGGCTCAGGTCATGATCTCAGGGTCACGGGATTGAGCCCCGCATCAGGCTCCCTGCTCAGCGGGAAGCCTGCTTCTCCCTATCCTACTCTCCCTGCTGTGTTCCGTCTCTCACTGTGTCTCCTTCTATCAAATACATAAAATCTTTAAAAAACATTGGGAGGGAGACAAACCATAAGTGACTCTTAATCTCACAAAACAAACTGAGGGTTGATAGGGGGAGGGGGGCTGGGTGGGGGGGGTGGAGTTATGGACATTGGGGAGAGTATGTGCTATGGTGAGTGCTGTGAAGTGTGTAAACCTGGCGATTCACAGACCTGTACCCCTGGGGATAAAAATATGTTTATAAAAAATTAAATTAAATTAAAAAAACAAAAAAACAAATCCCAGACAACAAAGAAAGCATACAAATACACATGCACACACACACACAAACACAAAGCCCCAGAGAACTTACAAAGAGTAATTCAAAAACTATAAATAAGATACTAACAAATAGAATTTATCACTGCATTAGAAGAACAAACAGATCATGGCCTAAAGCTTTTATACCAGAAATGCAAAAAAACTCAAAAAACAAAACCAAAAAAGTCAAAATATACTAATATTTCTTACATTAACAGATTAAAACAATAAGCTACCCTTATCCCCCGTAAGATAGTGAATAGTTCAATGATCAAAACATCAACAAAGACATGAGAAATGAGCAATCTCGGATTCTGCTCATTTGATATCTATGAAAAAAAATTTTTTAAGATTTATTTACTTATTTATTTGAGAGAGAGAGAGAGAGATCACAAGTAGGCAGAGAGGCAGGTGCTCAATCCCAGGACCCTGGGATCATGACCTGAACTGAAGGCAGAAGCTTAACACACTGAGCCACCCAGGCACCCCATCTATGAAAATGTTAAACATACATACTCTTTGTCCCAGAAATTCCACTCCTGGAGATTTACTCTAAAGACTTATTCACACACTCAGATATGCACAAATATATCCATTGTGGCATTGTTCATAAGAAGAAAAACTGGAATACTGTAAAAGTCCATCACTAAGGGAAGAGACCACTTTAAAAAATGTTTCCAAAACACTTTTGATTCCCTGATTTTTTAAAAATACACACTAAAATAAGCCAGAAATAAAAACTTTCCTAATTCAATGAAGAATAACTGCTCAAAACTATATAGCAAACACCATCCTCGTCCAGACTAAGGAATAGGGGCGCCTGCATGGCTTAGTCGGTTAAGCATCTGCCTTCAGCTCAGGTCATGATCTCGGGGTCCTGGGATCGAGCTCTGCATCAGGCTCCTTGCTCGGCAGGAGGCCTGCTTTCCCTCTCTCACTCACCCTGCTTGTGTTCCTGCTCTCTCTCTGTCAAATAAATAAATAAAATATTAAAAAAAAAAAAAAAAGAAAGAAAGAAAGAAAAGTAGCCAAGAAAAGAAAAAATACACAAAACGAACTGCTTCCTTACGCACCAGCTGTAACCCACTAGAACATACAATGACAGAATGAGTCCCAGACACAATACAAACCCAAACTGGAAAACACGCTAAGATTTTATTTATTTATTTGACAGAGATCACAAGTAGGCAGAGAGGCAGGCAGAGAGAGAGAGAGGGAAGCAGGTTCCCTGCTGAGCAGAGAGCCCGATGCGGGACTCGATCCCAGGACCCTGGGATCATGACCTGAGCTGAAGGCAGAGGCTTTAACCCACTGAGCCACCCAGGCGCCCCTGGAAAACACTCCAGAGCTAAACTGAACAAGACAATAGGAAAAGCTGGACAAAATGACTCCATGGGAAAGACTGAATCAATGGAGAGGGATCAGGCCATGTTCTTGGAGAGGAAGACTCCATATTTTAAGAAAATCACTTCTCCAAATTAATTTATAGATTTAATGCAATTTCTCTAAATGTCTCCAACACACTCTTTTTGCAGCTTGACAAGGATATTTGACAGTTCACCTGAAAGAGTGAATGTGTAAGAAAATTTTGAAGGAAAAAAAGAATGAAGAAGAGGATATTATAACATATTTGATTTAGACATCAAAACCTGCTACCAGGTTATAATAACTACCACAAGGAGGCATTCACTGCAGACACAGCCAAATAGATTAGTAACATAGCACTGAATACCAGTAGAATATACTGAATATTCACGATAAAAGGATATTTCAACATAATTGAAAAACGATGGTCTATTTAATAAAAAGATGAGAGGGTAGACTATCTATCCACTGGGAGAAAAAAAAAACTAAAGACGATTAGATATCATTTCAGATCAAAGAAATAAAAATTCAGCTAGATTGGGGACAAATATATAAAAATCCAACCCATAAAAATGTTATAAAACAACTAAGAATACTTGTATGTCTTAGGATGGGGAAAGGCTCCCGTAAAAAGATACAAGTTTCAAAACTTATGAAGACAAAACTTGACAGTTTGTATAAAATTATGCAGACTTGGAAATATACTTACAACATACTTAACAAATAAAGCGTTACTATCTTTGAAACAATTAGGAAGACAACTGAGCAAAGCAACCAAAAGAGAAATGAGCAAGAGAAATAAACGGGTAATGATCAGAATAAAAGCAAGTTGTCAATAAATGTCTGGGGAAAAGTACCTCACTGCGCTAGCAATATGGAGAAATTCACATTAAAACAATGAGCTACCAATATTCCCCAGGAGCCTGTGCAAAAATTTAAATGATTGATATTGTAAGCACTGACAAAGATAAGAGGTACTCTTTCCCACCCAACAATTCCATTTCTAGAGATTTAGTCTAAAGAAATACTCATGTTCAAAATTATGCACAGAATTGCTCCTAGTAGCACTTTTTCATTATGAGGAAAAAATGAGAAAATATATATGTCCAATACTAGGGGACTAGCTACATAACTAGTGTCTCCATGTTGCCAAATATAATGTAGCCAGGAAAAAGGAGAAGGCTGGCTTATGCAGTGGCTTCTGTATTTGGCCCCTTCTCCTGCCTTCTGTCCAGGCCCCTGTCTCTTCCCCATCCTTGCCCAAGGATACTCACCATTATGGAGCCAACCACAGGGCCTTTGATCACCCACCACAGAGCTGTGTTGTCATTCATATCCCAGCAGCTGAAAGACAGACAGAAAGATGAGAGATTAAGCTCAGTGCTGGGATGCCTACAAGCCAACGCTGACAGCCCCACTGTGGCCCTTTTCCCTTGCAGCTGTCTGAGGACGGGCTGGCTGGAAAGGGAGTTTTCAGGCATGTTGCAGACTGGAGCCCAGCTCTGGTTCTTCTAGTGTCCTGGTCCTTCCCTCTTAGAATCACCAGTGGGCTCCTGGGCAAGGGCCATGTTCCCCCTTCAGGATTGTGAAGGTGCGACCCCACCCTCAACAGCCTTCCTCCCCTCCCTGAAAGGAAAACAGGACACTCAGAGCTGGGCCCAGCCATGGAGAGGGCCTCTGAAACCTTGCACATTCTCACTAGGATCCGGCTGAGATATGGCTGAGTAGGTCCACCCGTGGTGCGATCAGGGTACAGTCGGGGGCAGGGGATTGGGGTGCAGTCAGGGGCTATTAACGTGAAGTCAGGGGAGCCACTGAGGCCCATCTGTAAGAACATTCTCGGGGCTCTGGGCCCTGGCTCTTGGACACGTACTCACCCTGTGTCATCGAAGTAGAGCCTCAGCATAGCCCACACAGACACACACACAGTTGGTGTCCCTGGAAGAACAAGAAAAGAAGCCTGGTGACGACAAGAAAACCAACAGGTCCTGGGGTCCCCTCAGATTTGGGCTCCCAGGGGGTGTCTGACCCAATGGGCAGGTGTCTCTTTCAGACCTGGGGTCTTGGGGACCCTAACTGTTCCTCACACCTCTGTCTCTGCAGGCCCATGTATCCCTCAGACCTTTGTCTATCTCCCTTCTCAGAAGGACTCCTGTGCATACCATGTCTTTCAGACAGTGGGCTTTCAATGGGCAGGAAGAGCAAGAAAGGGTCCAAGAACCAGAGATACCATCAGCTGCAGACAGGGCAGCGCCTCCCTTCCCTGACCTAACATTCCCTGACAGCAGGACCAAGGACATACCTGGCCATGAGGCCTGAGCCATGTGGCCTGAGCACTGGCCACAGTCAGTGACCTACCCCAGCCTATGATGGTGTACCAGTAGAAGTATCTCCTCTCAGGAAAGAAGGTCTCCACTAGCAGGGTGAAGAGGTACAGACCCTCGATGAACAGCCAGAAGTAATTTGACACGACACAGTAGTGGAAGAAAACCATTATAGCCTTGCATTCCACCTGCAAAGAGGGTGGGGAAGGTGAGGGAGGCATGAAGCCCCCACTGCAGGCTCCCACCCAGCCCTGAAAACCCAGCCCAGCAGGAGCACGGAGAATCCTGGGGGTCCTTCTGCTCAGGCATGTTTGGGCTCAAGCACCCCACAGATCTGCAAGACTCAAGGTTCCTGGATTTGAAGAGTTAAGAATGGCAGCATCCTATGATTGTGAGTTGAAGCTGTCCACAGAGACAACTCTAGGCGTGTCAGAAAAGGATGGGGGAAGGGTGAGCAGCGGGCCCGCTCCTCTCCCCAGGTTCATTCTCCCCCAACTTTCCTGCTCCTTCTCCAGCCCCTCTGCTTTTCCAACCCTGCATCCTTGTCAGTCGGGGAGTACAGAGGACCCTGCAGGAGGCTTCTTAGTCAAATGAAGTTTTTAGACATCAATGGGGAGACTCCTGGTCCCCAGAAATCTCGGACAAGAGGGGCCCACCCCGACCCCTCCAAGTGTGCTCTCTTGGGTCAAGCCCCTGTGCCCTGGGCTGTTCTTTCCATCTTATTCCACCAAAACCTATATGCTCTGCTTACCTCCAAAGGTATGAGAACTGGGGAGATGGTCTGGAGAGATCCCAACCAAGCAGCCCCTCGGCTCTGTCACCAGTTAGTGAAATGACCAGAGGCCAGGCAAACCCTCTCTCCTTGGGCCACCGAGACTCTGTGTTTCCATCCGACCCTCCACATCAGCTCTGCCATGTGTGCCAAGTACACTGTGTATCAAGTACACATACAGACTGAGGGACAGGAAATGACATCGAGCTAGGGTCTCGCTGGTTGCTAGCAACTCATGATCCTTCCTGGATTTCTGCGTTCCCTGGGGACAGTCACTGTCCCAGCAGGAAAGCACCTGGATGGCAGAGGGGGTGGGGGGGGGTCACAGGGAAGGGAGCCCTGGAAGGGCTTTCCTGCCAGGGTTCCACACACTCACGGTGGAGATGAAGCAGTGGTTGCTGTCCTGCTCTGCGTAGAGGATCCAGTCTTTGATGAAGACAGAGATGGCCCTCAGCATGAACGACACAAACAGGTTCATGTGGATGAAATTGCGGGTGCAGTGCAGCTTCCTACACCAGCAGGCCGGGGGAAGAAGAGGCCTTGAAGTGAGGAGCCCCATGGCACCTCCTCCTCCACTCCAAGCTCTGCTCTGGGCCAGCTCCACGGCTCTGACTCGGGGGCTCCCCACCTTTCCACATCTCTACATCCTCCCTCACAGCCAGGCCGTTGTTGTCTTGCTCCATGACTCTGAGACACCAGACTTTCCCCTCCTGTGGCCTCTGTCCCTTGGACCAGGAAGATAAAAGTGAGACATGGGGGGTCTCCTGCTCAGGTTCCCCTTGCTGCGTGGCCCTGGACATATCAGTTGCCCTCTCTCGGATGGAGTTTCCCACCTGTTAGTGTAAGAGTGGGGGAAACACCTTCTAAGGGCCCTCCAGGGCTGATATCCAGAGGAGAGGGTAGGGGTGGGTGGGTCAGAGCCAGGGCTCTGAGCTATGGTGCTGCTACTCTGAATGCTGCTGGTGTGTGGGTGGCAGGGGTGTGGGGTCTTACCGGAAACGACAAAGGATGACCATGGCAGTGGTGAGGGTGACAAGGGATGTGCTGTAACCAACTGTGTACAGGGCCTTGACGGACAAGTAGTAATAATCCTGGAGCAAAGCACAAAACATCCAGGGCTCCGCATGGAAGCTGCCCCAGCCCTCAGCTCCCTCAGGCCAGGGCCTGCCTACCCTGGGGGCCCACCACCCAGCTCCACCTTCCTTTCTTCACCTCTAGCTGATCTCATCTCCTTCTCTCCCCCCACCCCAGGTCCTCGACTACCCTGTCCTCCACCCTCTCCCCAACAAGCTTCCTCCTCCCCTCCGCAAGGTCTCTACTCTGTCAATACTCAGTAAATGCTTGTTGAGTGCAGGGGCACTGACCCACCAGAACAGGCATCAGCCTTGGCCTGGAGAAGTGTCCAGGAGGCCCCCTGCTGGGCCCAGCTTCAACCCTTCAGTTGCTGGGCCACAGAAAGGATGAGAGGCCTGGAAGAGTAGCCAGGGAGGTAGGGGACATGTGGTGGGGGCTGGGGGGACTCAGGAAGAAAAGCAGATGCTTCTTGGCCCAGAATGAATGAACAAAGGCCTTGCCCTCTGTGTGTCTGGCGTGGGTATACAGCAGGTGCTCCCGTGCTGCCTAGGGAGAGACCTGTAGGCCCAACAGGAGCCAAGGTCTTTGGTGGGAACACCTGGTCACCAGCCTCCGCAGCCCGACCCCTGCCACCTCCACAAAGGGACAGCCACTCACCTGGTCCCCGGGCTCATACTCATCATAGTCATCAAACCCACAAGCATCTACGTAATGAGGGAAGGGCTCTGACCATCCATCCTCTGTGCAGTTCCGGCTCACCACCCTCATGTCTGCAGCAGAAGAAACACTCAGCAAGGCATGGAATGATTAAGAAGACCCTGCAATTCTTACTTGAAAATTACTTCTTAAGTGGGAATTTCTAGAAACCGCATATGCACATCTGGGAAGCACAGTGGTTGAAGGTTCATGAAATTTTCCACTGTCTGAGGGAACATAGTGCTTGCTAGTGACCTCTAGCTCAGCCTGGACATGAAGGACACTGGGGAGGACAAGGCACAGCTGATCTCTTAACAAGGGCCAAGAGGACCAAGTCTCCCTCTCTTCTGGACCTGGGAAGTGCCCCTGGCCCCTTCCCCAGGCCATGGGTCAGCACTCGCCAAACGTCAGCGAACAGAAAAGAATGACATGAGATCACCATTGCAGACTCCAGCAGCCACCACTCTCCAACCCAGGAATTCTGGTCCAGGAATCAGCTCAAGTGACCTTGGGGCAGGAGTGCCCCTCAGACATTGGGAGCTCTGTGCCTTACAGCAGCTCCAGAGCTCCCGCACCAAGCCATGTATGGCTTGCTTGATTAACAAGGACCAGACTTCCATTAACCTAGCGCCAGATCTTATTAAGATATGTATTCAGGTTTAAAAAAAAACAACAACCTTTGTCTTCCCAGGTTTAGAGGTCTGTTTCCTCTCACTAATGTACTTTAATTTCCTTTTGATAGACTTTAAAGGCCATTTTGTAGGACACCAAAGGGGAAAGAGTCATTTACGGTCTGCAGGGCGGAATTTAGATTGGTTTTTGCCCCGCCTGGGGCCTTTTAGCCTTTAATGATTGCTCATCTCATCTTCCCCTCTCCCGATTGTCTGCAAGGGTGAGCCACAGATGTTCCGTGGAGGGGAGAAGGTCAGCAGCCCCCTATTCCTCCAGCCTTGGACTCTGGCCACGACCAACCCTGGTTCCCAGACTGGCTTCCTGGGAGTTTACCTGGTATATTACGACACGTGGCAACGGTTCTTTTTTCATAGGATTCAGGGGCCAGAAACTTGTGTATAAGACACTTTCACAGAAGAGGGGCTCCAGCACCCATGTTGCTGGACAGTTCCCCCTGCTGGGGCCAAGGCCACTTCTGCGGAGGTCAGGAAGGAGGCAAGGGCAGAGGCCAAGACAGGAAACCCCTCTGCTTTTCCAACCCTGCATCCTCGCCAGTAGAGTTGGAAGAAATGAGGCCAATTCTTTTTTGCCAAGAGAGTCAAAAACACACTTGCTGGGACTCTGGGAAGAAGCAGAGGGTGCGTGACCCTGCCACAGAAGACAGCTCTGCCCAGAGTGGGGAGACTACTGGTCTCCATCGCTTCTCGAATTCGAAGTCCCATGACATAGGACAAGGAGGATGCCTGGCAGGCCCAGGGAGACGAGTTGCTTCCGTCCCCCATTTTGATGCCAAATTCCTCCTTCTTCCAGCAAATCCATGTCAAGCTGTTACTGGCGACCTCCTTCCAAGTCCTCTGAAAGTCTTCATGCCCCAGGGGAGTCAAGGCCTTGGCCATGGGCCTCCTCTCCTCTGTGCTTTGCCCACAGCAAGGTGGTGGGAAGAGGAAAGGGAAGCTGCTTTAAAAAAGCAATTATTTAAAAGTGTCCCAGAGGTAGAAGCCATTTCCTTTCTTTTATTTTTCTCCCTTCTCCGTGTCTTTTTATAAGATAGTGTGGGCACAGAACTGTATAAATCTTTTTGTTCAGAACTATTCCACGAATTTGTCACGCTATTGTTCTGATGGAAATCTCTAGAAGATGGAGTACTCTCTAGATTGTCAAAACCTTACAGTGACTGCACCCACTTCACTAGACTTTTACCCCAGCAATTTCATAGGAGCACAGGATTTTAGGGCACTGGTTCTCAAAATGGGCACCCTACCCAGACAGGCCCCTCAGCAGCACTGGGAAGACAGGCTGGAAATGCATATTCTCAGCACCTCCTTGCCCCAGGACAGCTAAATCAGAGACTCTAGGGGCAAGGAATCAGAGTTTTAATGAGCCCCCTAGGTGACTGAAGTCACAGTAGAAGTTGGAGAACCACCATTGCCCCTGAGGGAGTTCCAAACTTTCAGGGGCCCTTGAATCTAGGGTGTCTGTATTTGGAGTCCATAGTGTGGCTTTGAGAGATCTGTGCTCCCAGAAATCATACACACAATGCTCTGTCTGGGCCCATGAGTGCAAATTTCCGTGGAGAAAATCCACACCTTCTACAGGGAAGGAAAAGGACCCACTAAAGATCCCACAGCCACAGAAGTCCCTACCTGCCCTGGACCTGGGACCCTCAAGCTCCCGTGCCAGCACATGCCCTCCCTCCAGCCAGGCCGTGGTGGGCCCCAGTTGATGCCCTCACCTGAGAGATCCAAGGAGTTACTGTCAGGGAAATCGAACTCTCCTGCAAAGCACAGAATGGGCATGAGTCAGCACGCGCGGCCCTCAGTGTGCCAGAGCTGTGCGTGGTACACTCTCTACCCTGGAAGGTCAAGGCCCTCCCACGTCTGAAGGACAGAGGTGGGGTCTCTGCCAAAAGGCTGCCGTGCACATAGCAGCTGCACCCCTCTCCGACACAGCGTGCCCTCCAGCATCAATCCCATTTGCTTTGTACTGCAGTGATGCTAAGGATGGCCCATGACTCAGTTCTCCCCACTGGGCCACAGGAAGTGGAAGCGGAATAGAGTCAGGGAGGTGGGAGGGCCTCCGGACTGGGAGAGGAGTGCAAAAGGATGACTGGGTCTTTTCCAGAAAAAAGCAGGAACAGCAACATGGGTCCTGGGCTTGGGTTTCTTTTCGGGTCCACAAGCCTCCATCTCAGCCCCAAACCTGTCTCATCCGAGGGGGCCCAGGACTTCATCCACAGACATTTTTTCTCCTCTCTCCTGATTCTTTATTCCACCTCCATCCTTTTCTCATGACAAAGCCCCTGAAAGCAATGAACCCTCGTTTCCATTCCACTTCTGAAAACCCTATTTCCAACACATAGCTGACCTTCCACCCCCTACCCCCAGGAAGCCTCTCCTGACCTTTCATTATCCTGCCTACATGCTGCACAGCTAGGTATCTCCTGTTCTCAAGCTTGCCTTCCATTCCTACATCAAGGCCACCAAGGATGTCTGCATCTACATGGGCTCACACACACATTCAGGGCTGTACCATGCCCATTTTCTATCCCCTCCACGAGTGTGTCTCATCCTTCCAAATCAGTGCTGAGTGCCCCAAGACCAAGGGCTGTGTCTTCCGTGTGCCTGTGTCCCCCACCTCCTTGGATGGCTAAAGGCAGGGGGTGGGGGTCGGGGGAATCTGGTCCCTGAGGAGTCTCTCATTCCACCCCCACCCATTCCCAGCAGTCAGAACTGGGCTCCCACTGGATGGACAGATGGGCAGATGATCAGCAGTCTCTCCTCTCCAAGGTTCCTCTTACCAAAGGTTTCTAGCTTCCACACTGAAACAGAGAAAGAGAGAGAACCCATAGGTGAACCAGGGAGCTAAAGTTGGGTCTGCTCTCACAGGGTCCTGCTGATTTCCTCTCTCCCCCACTCTCCATGCCCAAGCTCTGCTGGGGACCCAGGGACATGAGGACTGTAGGCTGTGGGTGGGCCAGACACAGGAGACTTCTATCTCTCCCTTCAGAATGGGACCCAGCGAAGGAGAGATGAGCCGAGGCGTCTGAGAGAAGGAGAGATCCGTCCCCCGCTATCTTCAGTAGCCTAGGAAGCAACAACTACTATAGTGAGCAGATTCAACTCTGGGAGCCATGAACTAGAATAAGAAATGTCATTTTCAACTTTCTAAGCAAGTCTCACTAATCCAGGTTTGTGAACAGAGACGCTAAAGGGCCCTGCCTTAATGAGCCATTGAGAATCAGGTGTAAATAACACATTCACGGTGCAATCGTCAGAGGGAGGGGACACAGTGTGAAGGGAAGTTTTCCTTGGCATCTTAGTTCACCACTGATTCATTCTGCCTTTTTGTTGTTGAAAAGCAGCCGTCTCGCCATGGTACCTGACCCAAAGTAGACGTTCAAGAGACCTCAGGTAAATGATGAATGAGAGGAGTACATGAACAAAGGAAGTGAGGAAGGCAGTTTCCACAGGAATGCAGCAGCGATGTGGCTGAGTCACCGGCTGCCACCGCACCAATGTCCCCTGTGCACACTCTACCCTGCACTCCTGCACTGCTTTGCCTCTAATTCCAAATTCGCTTCCTGTCTGGCTCTGGGGCACACCCAGTCCCCCAGCTGTCAGGATGGGAGAGGCCAGGGCGTCCTCCTTCTGGACTGGGGGGACTGGAGGCGGGAGGTGTGGCGGAACACCCCAGAAAGGGAAGTAACGGGGAGGGGGAGCTAAACCCTGCCTCCCTTGGTCTTCAGATGGGGCCCCACATCCCAGCATACGGCCACTCTCCTCTCTGCCACCTCCCACAAGCACCTGCCCCTCCAGGCAGGGCCACAGTTGCTGGCGTTCTGGAAGTGAAATAGAATGTGCCTCTGCCTCTGATAGACGGGTCAGAGGTTGGAGGTAGGCAGGACTCCATAATGGAGTGGAGCTCAGAGGTTCTCCAGTTCTAGAAGGACCCTGTCCTAAGCCTTAGGCAGGCAGCCTCAGGGGGCTGAGGGCCAGGTGGCAAGGTCATGTGCATGAGCACACAAGTGACTCAGATGCCTCTAACCCCCTCATGAGGCCCTGCCCTCCATCCTCCCCTAAACAAGGCCCCATCCCTGGGCTCAGCATTCAGTGGGCATGTTCTCAGGACATCTCCTGCCTAGAGCCCAGCCCTGCCTAACTTGGTGTCCTGCTTCCCTCCACAGCCACAGGAGTGGGGTGGAGGACCAGGGCAGGGCTCTAGGCCCTTCCCAGGGCTTGGGAAGCCTGTCTAGGAGCAACCTTTCTCAGGAGTCTACAAGGTGCCAGCTGAAAGGTGGAACTGGCCTAGAGAGCCCATTGGACTCACACCCAAAGAAGAGATCTGCATGAATCCATCTTAGACCCCTCCCCTTGGAGATGCGGTCTGTAAAGCCTTGTGCCTTTTTGAGGAGCACCACCCCCCTCTCTGGTGCCTCCATCCCTACATCCTGAGTCACACAGCTCAGCCACTGCCCAACTCTAGGACTCTCAAATGGGTCTGGGGCCCCTGAATATCTCCACAGCTCATCAGTGCTCCACACCCCCCCCAAGACCTCAAACACAGGCATGTCCCAAGCAGAGCTCTTTGGGATACCATACCTAGTTTCTAAGTGGGTATGTGAGTGTGGACATGGGGGAGTGTCTTGTGTCAAACTGCCAGAGAGCGTCTCACTGTGTGTCCATCTCTGGGTGTCTCTCTGGGCCTCTGAGCATCCCTGTATGTGTGCTATGGACAGTAGCACCAGCTGCACTACTGACCACTGCAATGTTCCTAGGCCTGGGCTGCCATGTGCATTTCTCCACACAACTCCCCAGTCACTATGTCACACTGCCATTTGACAGACCAGGGAATGGGGAACAGGGGACAGAGGTGTGAACTGCCTCACTCAAGGTCTGAGTTGGGTAAGAGCCGGAGCCCACATCCAAGAGCACAGCCTGGCCTCACTCACAAGGCCCCATCTCCAGGGCATCCTGGGAGCCTGCGGGCGCTTCCATGTCCCTGTGCAGACCAGGGTCTGTACTCTCATATTCCTGCTAGCATGGGAGCTCTGGAAGGGGGAACATGGCTGCAGGGGGGTCCCAGGTCCTGGGTACTTGCGTCCCAGGAAGGCTTGGGGCCAAGTGTGGAGAGAAGGCTAGAACAATCATGGCCTAGGGAAGCTCCAGGGGGAAACTCACCTTGGTCTGGGTTGAAGATTCGGAAGAATTCAGGGCAGCTGACCAGGACAATCTCACCCACGTGGGCAGGCTTCCAACACGTGAGGTTGTCCCACATCCCAGGGCAGCCTATGGAGGAGAGAACCATAGTGAGAGGGGGCCCAGCCCCACCACACCAACCACACTCACCACACTCATGCAGGTGGGCACACACACACATACCATGGTGAGTCAGGCCCCTGCGGGGGAAGGAAACAGTTTCAGGGAGAGAAGGTGAGGCTCACTGTGTGAGGCAGGGCTCAGCCTCCTCCCTGGAAGACCCCTCAAAGAGGAGCTGGGACATTTCAGGGGCTTCTGGGGGTGGAGAGGGAGGTCTCACCTGATTTTCCATCTCTCACAGCCCCATGGTGCCAGGAGGACTATGGGGAAGGGAGAAGCAGGCCCATAGCAGGCCAGGGTGGGATCACCATGCACGAGATGCTGGGGGGTCCTTGGAGCACCGCACTATCTCTCCACACCAGCTCCTCTAGTCCTCCCAGCCTCCAGCATCACAATGGGGTCCAGCTTTAGCTCAGCCTCCTTGGTGGGTCCTCCCTGCCTCTAAGGGAGTTCCAGAAACTGGCTGGCCTCAGGGTGCTGCTCCAGGCCTGCCCCTGCCTTCCAGAGATCGAGGCTCTGAGACTTGGAGGGGGTGCGGCAAGAGGTCTGACAAGGAAGAGGGCAAAGCTGGCCAGGCAGAGGTCTGCGTGGCCAAGGCCTGGGACTGTGAAGGGACTCAGAGCCCAAAGACAGAAGAGGCCAGTGCAGTAGTGGCACAGGCCCAACTCAGGCGAATGCTGAGGGCTGGAGGGGGAGCAAGGACAGACCAAGGGGTGTTTAGAAATCACCCAGACTTGGTGCGTCACCGGACACATGCTGCCAGGAACAAGAGAAAGATGGCAAGGTTGATGACCAGGTACTAATTTGGGAGCTCAGCGGACCCTCCTGCCCCTCTGCCCACCCTGTACCCTCTGTCTCTCTCTCCTTCCACCCCTGCCAGCCTTTCCTGGGAGGTCTGGGCAACCCCATGGCTGCTCCCTCACCTCCCTTCACGCTCCACCCCTTCCTCTGACGCTATCCCTCCTCTTCGATGAGGTGCCTCTGGCCACCAGCTGCCCACGTCTTCACCCTCCTGATGGGGTCCGCCTTGCCCACCTTAACTGAAGGCAGATATACTGGTGGCCATCCTGCCCCCGGAGCCTCACTCCTCCCACCTGGGACAAGATCACTGGCTCATGGACTTAGGGACAGAGCTACACACAGACAACCCCGGATCCTGAGACCTGCACTCCCTGAAAACAGGTTGGATATCCCCACCATGAAAGGCCCCAGGTAATCCAAACCCAGCCTGCCCAAGACTCCACTCAGCATCTCCCACTACAGCCCTGATTCCTGTCTCAGCCCCAGCTAGACAGACTTGAAGCCACTTCCGCCTGTCTGGCCAACCTAGTCATCTTCAGACTTTAGCAAGCACCCTTAACCCACGTGATTAACTAAACCTTTCTTTGTACACCTAGAGATGATGCATTCTTTCCTAGAATGCAGCCCTTCTGCACCAGTCATCAGACCCTGCTGTATGGCCTGTGGGCACCCCGATAATGTCTGCAGCTGGCTTCTGCATGCAATCAAGAAATGTTACAGACCACTGCCCTCCCGTAACTGCCCTAAACCCCTTTAAATAAATCTCTGGGCCAAGCAGTAACCTCGGAGTTGGCTTTTGGACAAGACTGCCATCTTCCCAAGTGGCAGGTATCCTGAATAAAGCTCCTATTGCTTTCCAATCAAAACTCATCTCTCAAGGGTTGGCTATTCAAACAAAGGGCAGCCGAAGTTGGGTTTCAGTAACAGACTGCCCTTGCTATGTCTCCTCCTCCTTCTTGTGCCATATCCAGAGGGCCACCATGTCCGGTTGGGCTGACTGACAAATATATGTGGACACTCGTGTCCTATTCTCCATCCTCTCAGCCCACTGAGTTAAGGGGTAAGCTACCTTTGACTGACACTGTGTTCTCCTCACTTGACACCACAAGGCTGTGACAGTGACCTTTTTGAAAGGAAGATCTGGTCAGGACATCCAGCCCACCCGCAGAGGTCCTTTCAGAGGACCTCCCACCTCAAGTCCTCAGCATGGTCCCCAAGGCACAGCCCTTGCTTCCCCCTCTGGCACACAGGGAGAGGGTGAGGCCCTGGGATGGCAGTTCCCCCAGGGAAAGGGGGTGAAATATGAAGGGCATGAAGAAGGGAGCCCCAGGGAACCACACATTTATCAGGTGGGCAGAGGAAGTGCGAGTGGTGACGTAATTCCCAAGAAGGGGAGCAAAGGTGGAGGAGGGAAGCGGCCACATTGAGGGTCTGACAGCAGAGTGCAATTTCAGGAAGGGACCCATATCCTGCTGAGGGGGTCTAAAAATATGGGCTTTGGAGAGGGCTTCTTTACCAGATCAAGGACAGTCAGAGGGTGACCGACAGTGTCCCACCGCCCGGAGCTGTCGTGAGGATTAATGAATTCATCCATGTAAAGCTCTCGGAGCTCCAGGACCACTCAATGCATGTTCATTGCTATTACTGGCATTAATTTCATTATTTCAATTAGGCGTCCCTGAGAAGCATTCCCCTGGGAGAGGCCCAGGCAAGGAGATGAAGCAGAGCCCCGCAAGGTGAGGAGAAATTCCAGTGGAGTGTCACAGAGGACACCTGGGCAGGCACTAGGCCGGGCAAGGGGGCCTAGGGCAGGCCTCATGGGCTCCCGGCCTCTCTGTTGGGGTCCACAACGGACTTAGCCTTTGGACAAGAAGGCACCCAGAGCTTCCAAATGCAGAAAACCTGGTCTCTCAGAATCCAAACCCGGCCACTTTGGAATTCACACCCAGTCACATTGGCCTGTGGTCTCCTGGCTCCTGGGATGACCAAGTTTGGGAGCTGGAAGCCCCACAGAAAATTCTGAGGGAAACAAACCAGAAAGACTAGATCACTGGGGCCATGTGAGGGGAGCAGGATCCCAGGTCTCACAACAGTAGCCAGTTATTGCTGATTCCTGCCCACCCTTCACAGCAGGAAACCAGCCGGCACATGGCTGGTTATGACATCATGTCCTTGAAAGAGACCCAGCGGCGTATCTTTGGCTGCCATGGCCCACGCGGATCACGGAACGGCCGTGGAGCACGGCTGTGTCTGGCCCATGCCCTAGCAGCCCCAGCCAACAGATGTTCCCTTAATGTGGAACATTAGGCCCTGGCCCAGCCAGCTGCGACAGCCAGCTGATGCTCCTGAGATCTCAGGGCCCTTCAGATAAATAGAGCATGCTCCCGAGGGTTGAAGAGCAGGGAAAGATGCAGAGCCCCAGGCAGCAACGCCATGAGGGGCAGTGGGGGCTCCCAGGTTGGAGGTCGGAGGCCTAGAAGCCTGGTTTGGGAATTCGTCCTGCCCCACCTCTCACACCCACCAGGCCCAGGGCCACAGCGGAGCAGGAAACAAATTTGAGAAGGTTGCATGGGAGAGCAGAGGAAGCAAAAAGGCCCCTGCAAGGCAGCCTTAAGACTCGAATTTGGTTGACTTCTGCCAAGGGCTCCCTTCATGACGCTGGCAAGTCTCTACCCACTCCACCTGACTCAATTTCCCTGTGTGCACTGCCAGGGCGGAGAGTCTCTGAGCGTATGCCCAACTCTGGATGACCAGATCTCAAATTAGGAACAGAGGTTCACTCATGACCTGCTGGTGTCCAGAAGGGTGGCCGGGGAGGCCGGGGCTGCCCTCCAGGGCCCCACTACCAGGGCAAGCATCTGCCAGGACCTACCCGCCATGGTGCCCCACCCTACCCCATGGCCTGCCACACTATCGAAGCCTTCCTGGTGCCCTCCTTAGGTTCCTGGCCTGGTTCCCTTCCAGGGACTAAGGTTCCCAGGGGCAATTCCTACAGCACTAGGGCAGGTGGAAAGACTAGAATGGAAATCCATAACTCGAGGGTCCAATCCCAGTGTCTGGGTTTAGGGAACCGCATGGTAAGAATTACGTATTTGGTCTTAGTCCCAGCTTCCAGGCAAAGCACGTAAACCTGTGGAATTTCCTAATAAAGGTAAGGGGAGTGTCTTCAGTTATTCATAAGGCTCTTCCGACCACACCTGAATTCATGCTAATGAGGTGACTCTGGGGCAAAGATGGCTGGTTGCCAGCGGGTACTTTCAGCTAAACCCACCCACATGGGCGGGGAGCTAGAAATTGGGCTAATCACCAAAGGCTAAGGATTTAGGGGATCATACCTACATAACAGAACTTCCATAAAAACCCTAAACAATGGGGTTCAAAGAGCTTCTAGGTGGATGAACACATCCACATACTAGCAAAGAGGTGAACCCCGAACTGCACAAGGACAGAAGCTCCTGTGCTCCTTCTGGACCTCACTCTATGACCCCCTTCATCTGGCTGTTCATTATATCCTTTATAGTAAACTGGTGAACGTGTTTCCCTGAATTCTGGGAGCCATTACTGCAAATTATTGAAACTGAGGAGAAGGTAGGACATGGGAGCCTCCAATTTGTAGTCAAGTCAGACAGAAGCGTGGATAACATGGGGACCCATGATTTGCAATTGGCATCTAAAGTGGCTAAGGGGAGAGTCTTCAGACCGAGCTCTTAGCCAAAGGGTCTGTGCTAACTGCAGACAGTGTCAGAAGTGAATGAAATTGTAGTGACACCAGTCGAGTATTCACAGAAGCCTGGAAAACCCACACGTTCGATGTCAGAAATGCTGTGAGTAGAAAAATAGCTTTCCTTTAGGGGACAATGTCCCTGACCCCACTGGGAGCTCACAGCCCTCTGCCCACCCTCCTGCCCTGCATCACAGGGTTTGCAGGAGACCGAGAGGGCCACCTTGGGGGTTCCCAGGATGCTCCACCTCTCAGAGGTGGCATGGGCTCTAGCTTGTCTCCCCTCCTTGATGGGGCCTGCTCTGAATCCCCCCCAGAAACTCCTTCCAGGAAGATGAGAAGGACAGGGAAGAGCCTTGGGTTTCTCTAACTGAGGACAGCAACTCATTTTCCTTCCACTCCCACAGAACACATCCAGTCCTCTATCTCCATCTGTTTCAGACTCTAG